TGTTGTCCCAACACAAATAAATTGTGTGGAACACAGCATTTTTACAGTGTAGATTGATTTGCATTTAATTTTCTTTATTATTATATCTATTTATAGTTCAGATTATTTTTTTTTTGTAGGGGGTGAGGCCCTGTTGTATTAGGAATTACACTCATAGCCACTTTATTAGGTACACCTGTCCAACTGCTTGTTAACGCAAATTTCTAATCAGCCAATCACATGGCAGCAACTCCAACATTTAGGCATTTAGGCATGGTTAAGATGCTGCAGTTCAAACCAAGCATCAGAATGGGGAATGAAGATGATTCAAGTGACTTTGAATGTGGCATGGTTGTTGGTGCCAGACGGGCTGGTCTGAGTATTTCAGAAACTGCTGATCTACGGGGATAACAAAATTTCAAGTGTTTTCAGACAATAGCCAGAAAAAGAAAAAATATTCAGTGAGCGGCAGTTCTGTGGGCGCAAATGCCTTGTTGATGCCAGAGGTCAGAGGAGAATGGCCAGACTGGTTTGAGCTGATAAAAAGTCAACAGTAACTCAAATAACCACTCATTACAACCGATGTATGCAGAAGAGCATCTCTGAACACACGTTAAACCTTGAGGCAGATGGGCTATAGCAGTAGAAGACCACACCAGGTGCCACTCCTGTCAGCTAAAAACAGGAAACTGAGGCTACAATTCACACAGGCTCACCAAAATTGAACAATAGAAGATTGGAAAAACGTTTCCTGGTCTGATGAGTCTCGATTCATCTGCAACATTCAGATGGTAGGGTCAGAATTTGGCGCTCAACAACATGAAAATATTGATCCATCTTGCCTCGTATCAACGGTTCAGGTTGTTGGTGAATAGGGGTTACTTTTTTGGCAGACTTTGGGCCCATTAGTCCCAATTGAGCATCATGTCAACGCCTCACCCTACCTGAGTATTGTTGCTGACCATGTTCATCCCTTTATGACCACAGTGTACCCATCTACTGATAGCTACTTCCAGCAGGATAACAAACTACGTCATAAAGCGTAAATCATCTCAGACTGGTTTCTTGAACATGACAATGAGTTCACTGTACTCAAATGGCCTCCACAATATTTAAAACATTAAATGACGCCTTTAATTTAGAGATAAAACCTAGTGTTGAGTTAGCTATCTTTGGGGTACCAGAACACAATATATTGTTGACAAACAAGGAAAAAAATGTATTCGCCTTCGCTACTTTGTTAGCAAGGAGAAGAATACTACTTGAGTGGAAATCAGCAGCTTCACCTAAAGCTTCAATGTGGATGTGTGATCTGATTTTATATTTGAAATGAGAGAAAATTAAGTATTTAATGAAGGGATCAGTCCAAAAATTTTATGAGACATGGTAACCTATGATTACATGTTTTGGGAAAAGGAAGACTCTCTCCTTTAACTGATTTATATAAATAAATCTGTGCAAACAGGTTTAACTGTGATCACCAATATGGTTTAGTTTGATATTTATGTAAAAGACCACTATAAATGTAACAGAATATTGATTTGTATTATCATGTACTGTAGGTAATTATTAATTTGAATTTTTTTTTAAGTTTATTTATTTATTTTTTATTAATTTACTATTATTATTATTATATATATAATTTTTTTTATTTATTTAATTATTAACTATTATTAACAATATTTTCAATTTTGCTATACTTTTATTTATTCCTGTTGTAATTGTATTTTAGTTTTATTTGTTTGCTAATTTATTTCGGCGGCAATGTTCGAAAATGGGGGGAAAGTTACAACTTTAAATGTACAAAATGTTTTGTTAAAGCTTGAGAAAATCATCACAAATAAATGTTAAAAAAAAAATGGCCTCCACAGTCACAAGATCTCAATCCAATGAATAGAGCACCTTTTGGATGTGGTGGAACGAGAGATTCACATCATGAACATGCAGCCGACAAATCTGCAGCAACTGCGGGATGTTATTATGTCAAAATGGAGCAAAATCTCTGAGGAACATTTCTGGTACCTTGTTGAATCTTTGCCACGAAGGATTAAGGCAGTTCTGAAGGCAAAAAGGGGCTCCAACCCGGTACTAGTAAGGTGTACCTAATAAAGTGGCCGATGAGCTATATTTATATCACTGATATTATCTCAAAGTTAGAAATTCTACTATCATGACAACATACGCAAGTATTTTCTATACAATAGATAAGTACATTTGACATCTTTCTCTCTTTAGTCCAATACAATTAATTAGTATTTAATTATTTTGTTCTAGTTTTGTCTATTTCCACATTTTCTGTTCACCTTTTTAGTTTTCATCCAACTGTGATGATTTCTACAAAACCAGGGTCCATCTGAGATTTCATGTTTGCACACATCTTTCCACCTCAGGTGGCCTTTTAAAAGCATCTTCAAGCATCCGTATCTTTATGCAAATACACTGTGGAAATTAAATCTTTTTGCTACTTGATCTCCGTCAGGGGGTCCCTTTGCGTTTTCATGCGGCTGATATACGACCCGACCCCCGGGGATACACACAGCACGAGTGAGCACATCAAATCTGCAATCATTAACACAGCTAATAAATAAACCTGTCGATCAGAGCGCGCATTACAGCGTGTTCTCATGGCACCAGGGTGCGACAAACACCACTCATGATGATGAATGCCACTTGGGCTACAAAGCACTCGCACAAGACACTTGCAATATTGCACCGTGCCGTCCCAGGTGGGGAAAAAGAAAGTCCCACATCCCTCAAATGTTGGTTGCTGTGCTACGGGGACACTATGGAGCTGCCCTTTACCAGCCTAATCTATCTCTGTTTGTCTGTGTGTGTGTGTTCTTGCCGTCACATAATTAGGATAATATTGACTGTGACAGATGTCTCATAACATAGTGTTATTTGCTGACAGAATAATATTTTTAGACCTGGCCTGCGCGGATTATCATGCTCAGAGGAGCTCCTGTAATGTTTGTGATATTAAAACTATTATGCTGCTGCGATCAAAAGGTGTGAAGAAAATAAACACAGAGCTGCTAAAGCACATCTAATTGGCTGAAATATACAGGTGAGGTCAGACTTATTAGCTCTCCTAAGTTATTAACCCCCGTTTATTTCTTTTCAACACATTTCTATTTTTTCAGCACATTTCTAAACATAATTGTTTTAATAACTCATCTCTAATAACTGATTTATTTGATAAATAAATAATATTTCAATGGATATTTTTCAAGACACTTCTAATCAGCTTAAATTGACATTTAAAGGCTTAACTAGGTTAATTAGGCATTTTAGGATAATTAGGCAAGTCATTGTTTAACGATGGTTTGTTCTTTAGACTAAAGGGGCTAATAATTTTGACCTTAAAAAGATTTTTTAAAAACTCAAAACTGCTTTTATTGTACCCCAAATAAAACAAATAAGACTTTTTTTAGAAGAAAAAATATTATCAGACATACTATGAAATTTTCCTTGCTCTGTTAAACATAATTTAGAAAAAAAAAAAAAAAAAAAAAAAAAAAAAATATATATATATATATATATATATATATATATATATATATATATATATATATATATATATATATATATATATATATATATATATATATAAAATTAATTCATTAATTAAAGGGGGGGCTAATATATCTGACTTCAACTGTACATATAAAAAGATTTATTAAAAGTACTGAGAGTCAAAAGAAATTACATGAAATCATGAAAGGAAAAAAAAAATCAGAAATTAATCAACACTGAAGAAAAAGGTTTCCTAAAGCTCGTCCCCAGCAAATGAAACAAATGGTTCATGTCATTTCTTCCAACATAAAAAGTTGTTCTGTTGTTATACGTGCTGCATATAACACAACATTATATGTGATATTTCTTAAGAGTCCATGGTGGTTGTTAGTCATAATAAGCAAGTATAAGAGGATGAAGTGACAGACACATCTGTTCTGCTCAGCGTAAAGCACTCTAGAAAATGAAGCCCTTTCTATTGTTTCGGCACAAGCACATGGCACAGCGGTCACTCGAAAACACACCTGTGCAGCAAGTTCCCATGCAATTGTTATTTAATCTGTTCTGGCTTTAACGTGTTTATGATGCAGAACAGTATAATGCATGCACAATATGAATCACTGTCTGATGTACGTCCAATGATATAAAAATCGTGTATGGTGGACTCTTGTATAAGACATCTCGGATGCTTATTCTCATTTGGTCTAGATGATCGTTTTACATATGGTGAAATCTGTAAATCTTGTTTGTAGTCTAGTTTAATTATGCTTTGTGGTGTGTTTGGTGTTTTACAGTATGTCTGGCTGTTACTGCGCATCCACACACAACTCTATCTATCTATCTATCTATCTATCTATCTATCTATCTATCTATCTATCTATCTATCTATCTATCTATTGAAGTTGTTTAATTCTATGGTTCTAAAATTGCAATATTATGAACTTATTATTGTACATTCTAAAAATGCTCGGTTGTTTTAACCTAATTTTTGGTCAATATACACGAACCAATATTGAGTTATATATTTTTATTTAACCCAATATTGTGTTAAAACAAAACAAATTTTATAATGTAAAAATCTTATTTACACATTTGGCTTCACCAAATAGCCATTTACATAATGAAATATCTATCTATCTATCTATCTATCTATCTATCTATCTATCTATCTATCTATCTATCTATCTATCTATCTATTTAAATTTTAATAGATAGTTTTGCTTTAGTAATGGCTCCATTTAGTTCGTCTTAAACTCCATTTGGCTACAAATCTGTATCTCTATAACACGTCACATTATGAATATGAAATATCTTAAAACAGTTATACAAGTGTATTTGGCAGCTCTACATAATCACATGTGCGCGTGATTTTTTCATTAATCCATTACTTGCGTAAATATGCAACGTAAATACTTAATGTAAATATATTGCATAAACATTCCCGGGTAAAGCGTGACCCTGATGTGTCAAAAATAACTCACGGAGGCTGTTTTTAAGAGTCTTACCCTTAATGACGAACAGATTTAGAAGTATTCCCAGAAGGATCATGTCGCCTGCTGCTGGATGCGCTCGGCTGGACGGTGATGCTGCTGGGGAATCTCGGGGAAGCGCGTCTGGAACCCCCGGATCGGTCCGACTCAGTCCGACCCACTACATCCATACAAGAGGACCACCGTCCGACTGATAGAAATCTCCGAAAGCGACGTGTCCGAGAATCAATTCCAACTAAAAAAAAAATAAAAACTTGTGCGATATCAGCGTAAAGAGGCGTCAGAGCAATGATTTCATACAGCAAACAAGAGGAATTACAAACTGTCAAGCGCACTAAGCAGTAGATGTCCGTTTTAGTCACGATCGGAGTCTTTCTAAAATAATAATCCTCGATTCAAACGCGTACCACCATGATAGACGCGTAACCACAGGCGCGCGTCAGATGTGCCAGTGTGCGCATTAGTGCGCATCAGTTTAATATATGTGAGCGCGACCCCAGATGCTTGACTCCTGCTGTCCCACAGCACAATGTGCTCACTCCAGTCCTCAAACTCAGCGGCGAATTTTACATGCATCTGCCTCCCTGTGATTGGCTCGAGCGTTCGCAGGCGCATCCATGCAAAATCCCTGACCAGCCTTCTGGAGAGCAGGGTCGCTGCTCCTATAGGCTACACATATTCAGCCTGCGCTGCAACTATCCAAGTTTGCAAGTGATTCTTTCAGCATGTCCGAAATGTTACGGAGATTTTCCAAAAATGAGGTGGACAGATCTGTTAAACTGTGCACTCTGCAAAAAGAAAGATTTCTAAAAGATTTCAATAAAGAGGTGCTGAATTATGGCTCTTAAATGGTCCATAATTTATAGAAAAATAAATTTTTGTCTGTAACTAGTTAACAAAAATGTTTTCCAGGGCCATTGTACACTTTTAAAAATACAGTAAATGTTTTTTTTGTAAAATATATATATATATTTTTTACAAATAAATCATATTTTTAAAATCATAAAGAGATTTATTGATTATAAATGTTATATATATATATATAACATTTATAATCAATAAATCTCTTTATACTAAAATTTCTTTAGTACTTCTTTATACTAAAATTACTATATATTAAAATTATATATTAAAATTACTATATATATTAATTACTAAATATATTAAAATTACTATACTAAAATTTAAAATGTTATTGAGAAAATAGGATCATTCTTTTTGTGTGTATAAAATTCACATTTTTAAAATCATTATTAAGGTTCCTCAAATCCTCAGTTTGAGAGATTTAAAAGTGTATTTTAAAAATGTTTTTTATAGGTTTTGCGGTACGACTTTACAATAAGGTTCATTATTTAATGCATTTACTAACATGAACTAATCATGTACAACACTGGTACAGCATTTATTAATCATAATTGAACATTTACTGATGCATTAATTAACATTCAAGTTCATGCTTGTTAACATTAGTTAATGCACCATGAGTTCACATGAACTAACAATGAACAACTGTATTTTCAATAACTAACGTTTATTAACATCAATAAATACTGTAGTAAATGTATTGTTCATTGTTTGTTCATGTTAGTAAATGCATTACTTAACATTAACTAATGAACCTTATTGTAAAATGTGACCGGTTTTGCAAATGTAAAAAACATACACTCACAACATTTACTGTCCCTCAGGTTGTTAAAATTCTAAATATCTTTGTTACATCATTTGGTAGAATGTCAATAACTAAACTGATCTCACCACATATTTACTGCCATAGTATTTATTTTTTCTACTGTGGCAATAAATGTGTGCCGAGATCAGTTTGGCTGCCAACATTCTTCCAAATATCTTCATTTGTGTTCAGTAGAACAATGACATTTATTGAAACAACCTGAGGGTGAGTAAAAAACTTTCGCTTTAAGGAAACATTTCTTTTTTGCGAGCAGTATGGAAACATCACGAATGCTCGTTAACAAATCAAATATTGAAGTTAGAAAAGTTTGCATACATGTCCTTGTATCTAATAATTGGGTAGGCCTATATTGTTCTAAAGTATGTCTTAATGTGCCATTACAGGTTCTTCAGAGTTGAATATTTGTTGCTACTGGAAGCATTTTTTTAGGGACATAAGAGGATATCTTATTCAAATATATAGTTTTACATTTTCTATTTTTAATTGACATACAGTTGAAGTCAAAATTATTAGCCCCCCTGTATATTTATTACTCAGTTTCTGTTAAACAGAAATATTGTTTCCACATATTCCTTAATATAAGTTTTAATAACTAATTTCTAATATATGATTTTTGCCATGATGACAGTAAATAATATTTTTCTAGATATTTTTCAGAGTGCTTGTATTCAGTTTAAAGTGAAATTTAAAGGCTTAACTAGGTTAATTAGGTAGGTTCGGGTAATTAGGCAAGTCGTTGTATAATATTGGTTTGTTCTGTAGCATAGCAAAAAAAAAATGTTTAAGGGGGGCTAATCATTTTGACTTTAAAGTGGTTTTTAAAAATTAAAAACTACTTTTATTCTAGTTAAAATAAAACAAATAAGACTTTCTCCAGAAGAAAAAATATTATCGGAAATACTGTGAAAAATTCTTTGCTCTGTTAAACATCATTTTGGAAATATTTAAAAAGTGAAACAATTCACAAGAGGGCTAATAATTTTAATTTCAACTGTATATCATAACAAAATACATAATTTACTAGATGTTCTGCAGAAATGTTATTTGCTGACGTCTACTATTTATTTTTAATCCTTGTGTGGGGTTAATTTCCATGTAAATTAGCCACTTTTGGGTTTTTAATTCGACAAAATCCAAACTTGTGTGTTAAAATATATAACAGATCATCTTGCATGTCATATAAATGTGTAGGAGGTGTATGATGTGTGGTCATTGAACATTTGTACTGACTTATGTTCTTCATAGAAAATGATAAATTTTATTCTAATAAACAATAAAAACGGGTCCTACGGTCCCAAACACCATACAGAGGTTAAATAATTTGAATTTATTAAAAAAGCATTTCAAGCTCAGATTGAATAATAGATGTAATGGCTTGCACTTAAAGCATTTAAAGAATCAGCATTTTTCAATGAATCGCTTGAATCAATGATATAACAATCTTTTGAAGGAATATGTCACATCCATCAGTGACCACCTGAGGGCGCTGTAGTGCATCAGGACTCAGTTAGCACTACAGCGTCCCAGAAAAACTACATTCTCATACATACCACGCGCATACACCGGAACACCTACACTGACCTGTCATCTCATCTGTTCTGTGTTACCGTTGATTATCTGGACTATATATTCTACCCTTCCACCTTTGTTTGTCATCGGGTCGTTTGTCTTTCTGGTCTTCCATGTCTCGCTTGTTCCTAGTTCCAAAGTAAGTCTTGTATTCATAGTTCGTTGTTCCTGATCGTGTTTTTTAATTTTGCCTAAGTCTAGTTTGTAGTGTTATTGTTTCTGAGCCTTGTCTCGGTTTTAGTTTCTGGTTTTGTCGTTTGTTTGTTACTTTGTATTTTGATCACCTCGTTGTTTCACTGTAAATAAATATCTGCACTTGGATCCGCACCTTTTTGTTTTTGTTCCTGTTTTGTTCACACTAAACGTGACAGAATATCAAAAAAAGTTCAATGACTTTAGTTTTTTTTTTTTTAGAAATACATGTCAACTCCGCTCTATTAGTGGCCTAAAGGGTTAAAAAATTCAAATTCAAAAAAGGATTTCAAGCTCAGATTGAATGAAAGATTTAATGATGCATTCATTTGTTGAATCAGCATTTTTGGACGAATCGCTTGAATCAATGATATGACTAAACCTTTTAAAGGAATGTCAAAAAAGCTCAACGACTTGTACATGTCAACTGCTCTCTAGCAGTAGCTCTCTAGATCTTTGCTGTTTTTAAAAATAAGACTGTGTAGCTGTTTTTTTATATAAAATTATTTTGGTTATTTTTTACCTTTAACTGTAGGGGGCAATATCAAGGACCAGTATGTGGTATGAATGCCATATGTCGACGCACTAACCACTACGCCATTAGCGGCGACACTATGTAGGTGTTTTAATCAGGATAACAAACTTTTAACAATTATAAATGCAGGTCTGATTTTAGGTAATGTGCTATATGCACAGCTAGTGTTTTTCAGCCAATGATGAACTTCCGGTGAAAGCTTTATGTGATTATTTTCAATTTCATACGGTTTCTTTTACAGCACTGATGTTGTAATGCAGTTGTAATATAGTCAGTTAAATAGACTTTTGTTATTAAAGTGTAAAAAGGGACGAAAGACTGTTTAAACTCAGGCGCCGTCATTAGCAGCAGGCTAGCGCAGAAATTCCATTGAAAATAATGGGGTAAAATTAATTTCCATATTTTAAAGACTAAAAAGAAAAATTTTAGAAAAATATAGAAAAATATAATTTAATGCAGGGCTTCTTGTTTGGTCCGATACTCACTTTATATCGTATCTCATCTGTTTTTTAAAGAAATCATATCTTAAGCCGCCTTTCCACTGCACATGACAAGCAACAAGCGACAGGCTGGAAGTCATTTATTTCCAAAGGAGAGTAGTCTGGACATCTGGTGGAATTTCGATCATCTCTGTTTGCGTAAAATTTGGATTGATTTGATTTGCGGATCTGTTAAAATATTTAAACTTCTGCAACTGGACCATATTAACCGGCCAACCAGATGTGATGTATTCCAGTGTTGTCCAAGCAGGTCAGTGCGCAAGAGATGAGAAATACTAGGTTTTATTTTTCTTTTTTTTTTTTTTCATCAAAAAAATATCTATATTAAAAAACATTTCCATTTATAAATGAGCATTAAAAAATATTATTTATTTAATGTTGTTAAATAACATCCACATTACCTCCAAAATGTTTGGAGGTTTTTAAGTTTCTAGTATTCATTCATTCATTCATTCATTCAACCATGGTGAACGCTTGGAGACTAAAGCCACGGTCACACTGCACTTTTCTCCCCATAGACTTCCATTTATACGCACACAAATGCGTCAGACCGGAATTGCAAGGTCATGGGACAAGTTTCACAGTTTACTTCATTGCAAAGTTCAATCTTGGTGAACTCTGACCTGTGAAATGGCATCACTTGACTGCATGAGTCCGATCGAGGATCAAAACATGACCTCTCTGGACAGAAATGTAAAATATGGACCAATCTCTCACTTTTAAAAATTTTAGTCAACTTGTTTAATCCCGCCCCTTCTCGCAGTGCCGTACTACAGAATTTCACAAGCTGAAACTCAAGTGTGACCACTTCTCTCCCATGGTGCACAACAAAACTGACAATTCTATGAGACTGCCACAAGGGGTGTATTCCAACAGTCGTGTCCGAATGTTGTTTGCAGTGGAATGGCGGCTTTTTTTGATGACAATTAACCAGAAGCCCTGGGGCTGGCTGACTGAAATTGAAAGTCTGTGTGTCTGTGTACCCTAAAGCTGCACAATTAATCAAAAAAAGATCGCGATCTCGATTCGACCCCCTAGACAATCTTAATCCAGCA